CTTTCATTAAATAGTATAGGAGGTCCTGCAGCAACATTACTCGAACGAACACCATCGTACCGTACGTTAACTTATCATTCATAGATTTTATGTATGTTCCATCCTCTAGTACCTACAACAAGAAATGTAACTTTACAATTAGTTCTAATGATTATTACGATGTCTGAACAGTTCTGTTTATACAGATTACGAACATAATTTTCCTTTCAAGTTCACAATCACCACATGATATTGCACTTCTTACAGCAATTTTATGAAAATTTACCTTGGAATTCTTCATCAACATATTCTCCCGTGGTATCCTAAAGTCACGAAATCCGAGAAACCCATTGTTAACGCCGTTCATCCCCAATTTTGTACCAATTTCTCCAATTATAATGCCTAAGAATTACATACAGATTAAATTTACTGTTTGCTATATCTATTGTTCAGCAAATTATAAACAAGAAAGTTGTTCGATTTCATAATTGTTGTTTGATAATGTGAACAGTTTGTTCTCTTTTCTACACATTGCAATATAATATATAATTAATTACAAAAGATTAAGACATTTATTTGTGTACCCTTTAAAGGTTCGTGTGTCTCCACGTCTCTTAACTGTACAACAAACAGATGAATTCCCCTACATTCTCCCTGGGTGTATAATTGCGCAACGACTATTGCATGGTTTGCAGTGTGACCCGCTGAAAATTTTAATTGTAAATAAATCATACTGTTTTAGTTAACAACATTATTATTATGTCAAACAATTGCAATATACTTACGTCCACCTGGCCACCATTTGTAGGACGTCAAAGTTGGACTATTCAAAACAAACTCTTTCGTTTCCGGATCGTACGTTGCAGTAGTTTCCAAACCCCTGAGAAACGTTCCATGGCCTAGTTCGGTCTAAGGCAGAAGTGCAAGATTAAATTTACTTGAGAAACTTTTAGAATCTGTGACCATCTTGTTTAAAAAGAATGTTCTCTCTTGCGTATTACCTGTGCATATGTTCCTATAACATCGCCAGCCCAAGCTCTGTTTATCCAATATGCTTGCTGTTCAGAATTTGCTTGTCCCAGAATAGAGGGTAGAAACATAGCATAATGCAGGACCAACGGATTTCCACCTTCGAACAGTGCAGACCCAAGTCTTGCTCCAAAGATATGTCTGCAAAGGTACTACATTGAGGATGTTCTAATGTGCTTGCTGTTCAGAATTTGCTTGTTCCAGAATAGAAGGTAGAAACATAGCATAATGCAGGGCCAATCTCTACTGAAAGGTTACGTTAAAGGTACCAATGTGTTATCTGGTAAGCAAGGAAGTTCTACTTTTATTTAACATTGGAAAAAAGATAGTGTAGAGGAAAACTAAATTATTCGTTAGTATAGTTATAATTATGCTCATACGTAATGCTATTGAGAGTAGGATGAAATATTTGCATTTTTTTTCTTCTTTAAAAGAAACAAGCAATGACTCTTTCTTTAATGTCAAATAATGAAACTGGGTTTGTTATGTGACAGGATATAGACTTTGACAAGATCTGTAAAACATTTTGCAGTAAAAAAATGATTATCTTCCTCGTCTGAGAGTTGCAATTCGCTAATTGCAGTCTTCTCTAATTTTGCGAAGAACATTGTGAAGAACACATCCATAAAACGTCTTCATATATATTTTTATGGCTTTTATATCTCACTGCTATGTTTTCTGTTAACGCTAGAACATCCAAAAAATATTATTGCGAGATTAAACATTTAGACATACTAGAGCACGTATAAAATAATCAAAAAAAATTTTTAAATGGAGACACTAGAAGACCAAAATACAACAATTAAACGCGCGTGTAATTTTTATTAGTAAACGTTATAATAGTTAATTTTCAGCATTGAATAGGAAGAACATTGATCTATTTTCACATATATTATATAACTAAAACGTAGTATACTACATGCTACGTAATAATTATATTTTTAAATGTGAATGCAAATATTTACAGTTTGTATATACAAATATACAATAATAAACATTCTCTCTTATACGTTCATGTTCCTTTTTTCTCATTAACATTTAAACGTCATTGATAAAAAAATTAATACATATGTATATCTTACTATGTAAAGGAAGTTATATTTCAATATGTTACATTTATATTCTAGCAAAGTTAGTAATATTCATGGTAGATATATGAGGACTAAGTAAATTATTTTGCAGTAGAACTGATTTCGACTTTTGTTATGTAATACATATATTAAAGAATATATTATCGTATCAACGATATGGTAACAAAATAAAAAGATATTAAACTTAATGGGAAATAATGAAGGGAGTAACGTAATCATAACGAAGAATAGCAAACAGTACATTATTTAATTATTTATTCATTTAATAATTTATTGTTCATTAGTCGCTTACAATAATTTTGGTTTATAATAATTTAATTTCACGTATAAATGATACATATCATAAGTTTATACATAAATAATTATAATAAAAATATTTTTAGATTACAATGTGCAGATTGATATGAAATTCAACTATACCGTTAGGCACATGGTTGTAAGAATTTACATAATATATTAGATTTGCAAATGTGACAAAATATCTAAGAATTGGTCTAAAATTCTCCACAAAATTATCCGATTATTTCAAAATATTAATGACGTTAACACACTAGTTCAAAGCGTAAAATGGATAGAATAATATTACTCTGTCTTTAATAACAAACTGACTGTACAGTTTTCAATTTTGCTAAATCAACTGCGAACTCTGTTACTTGTCCAACACATACATATACGTATATAGGGGTCTCGGCTACTATTTCAACATAATTTAAGAGCTGATTCTTGACGCTGAAATAAGACAAAAATCAAGAATAAGAAAAATTACGTTTTCGGCCTTGTTTTTTAATTATTGACAATTAAAAATCGGTAAAAATATCAACAGGCGAAAGCACAGATTCTCCTCGACCGATCCACCTGTTTCCAAAATAGCTGATCATCAAAGATTTTTTTTTCTTGAATTTTTTGTATACATCTCTCAGGTTTTAACGTATCGGTATTCCGCAATTTATTGACTTATTTTGTAAAATATATTTGCGATAAGTATAGCCCTATTGAGATATTTTTCGACGTATAAACTTCGTGCTGTTGTACTATTGCCGACCGCCATAAAATGTATACATTTTATAATAAATATGGCTAATAAAAACATGCACAATACTACTTGTACGTTACCACTTTTATTTCGTAAAATGTAATTTTCTTTGAATCGTTACAGGAAAGATAGATACTTGTGTATTTGAAAATATCACTTCGCTAATTACAAAAACTGTATGGAACATATCATTTTTCACAACATATTTAAAACATCTTATCCGAGAATGATCACACAATCCTAAAACGTTTCTCTTAAAAATAAAATCACTATCAAACGTCTAGTAGAAATTATTACAGCGATAGTCCATTATAGAAATTAAATATCTATGAGAAGCCATAAGAACGATACAAAACTACATTTCTTCTTTTCATTAAAAACAAACTCTCAGCAAAGTGGATAAATGAACGCGTACACCTTCTTCCGATATCGCCCATATGATACATTGTGACAATTGTATTTTTAAATGAGCAACCATGTTATTTATGGGATATCGATTTATAAGATATTAAACTGTAAAATGTTCAAAGTTCAATCACCACATACGATATACAATATAGATAACCACGATTTACATTTTCCTTTAAAAATATAGAAAGATTACACTATAAATTACTCTTAAGAAATGGTTTTAAGTATTTTTCAAAAGATATGTTCACAGTTTCACGATTAAGAGGATTCTTCATGGCATCTTGGAACAATCGTTCGTAAACGTTACCATCGTAAGCACCCAAAGCCGAGCAAAGAATATGGTCATCGAAATCGAAACCGTCAACGATTCCTACAGCATTTCGACGGATTGTCATCAGCAAATATTCCAAGCGTGAATGAAGTGTCTCCACATGCTCTTTCTGCATAGAAGAAAACTAAAAAAGAGAAAGAGACGAATCACTCTTGAATTCAAATTATCCTACAGCATATAGTAATAAATTTTTTCTTCTTTCGCAGTTCTCTGTGATTAGTTTCGGAATAAATCAATACTTACCCGAAGAAAATTACCAACGTTTTTCAAAGCCCAATATATGATATACAGTTCGCAGAGTTGAGACATTACTTGACGAAATTCTTCAGACTTCGAGTTTAACTGTTTAACAGCTTTTGCAAATGTCTTTACAATGAAAACTCGAGCGTGAGCTTCCGCACACTGAGCTAGTTCGATGCCCGTTTGGTTCCACGCCTCCTCCATCGGAACTCCGTCACGTATTCTGCGATCCAAATGTTCTGCTGCTGAACGAACGAATCTACGGAATGGTAAGAATAATAAGAATACCTATGTAATTATTTAGCAATATTTAATGTATGCGTTATACCCTGCGGCTACCGCGTCATAGGCATCAATCAAACGTTCCAAATCGTTACTCCAAGGACGATGTTTTACTCCTTTTGCTGCTTCGTTAAGATATTCTACAGATTCTGGCAGTGGTTCACCATTCGTAGCTTGCTTCCATGATTTTACGAGGTACGCAGCTGTTTGCAAAAGTAGGACTGTATTTTCCCCTTCGTAAGTACAAACTGCGGTGGCTAATCCGTAAAGTGTTGGCAGATTGCTGGCAGTCATGTATCCATGTCCACCACAAGATAACCGAAGTTGCTCTATTCCAGCTGCTGTATCTGCAGATACAACTGCTTTTAGGCAACATGACAAAGAATGTAACTGCAAAAGAAATTAACAGAGCTAGAAATATGAAAAAAAGTATATTATTATGAAGGGTATAAAGGTACCAACCTCCGGTATTTTTTCATGATTAGCCTGGCGCAATTGCTTTTGTACCGTATAAAACATATTCCAAACCCAACTAGCAGTAGCTTTTATTGCAAAACATGTGGCAATATAAGGGAAGATTTTGTATTGTTGAGTTACGTAATCGAGAATCTGTACCTCTGGTTGACTAAAAAAAAGAAAGGCAAGGATAATTTAATACTAGTAGGAGAGATAATACAGATTATTATCAGATTAGATTAGAGTTTTAACTCTAATACAGATTAGAGTTTTAACTACAGAGTTAAAACTCTAATTCAAAGTAACATTTCCCATGAAACGATATTTTTAAAAAAGGATATAGAGCAGTCGATGTTACTAGAGATGATTTTAACAGAACATACTCAGGATTTATTTGACCCTGACGTCTTACTACGCTGTATCGAACCGCAATAGTAACAGCTTTCGTTAAATAGTTTAAGAGGAGTCGCAGCAACCTCACTCGAATGAACACCATCGTACCATACTTTAACTTATCATTCGCAGATTTTACGTATGTTCCATCCTCTAGTACCTACAACAAAAAATGTAACTTTACAATTTGTTCTAATGATAATTACGATGTCTGAATAGTTCTGTTTACACAGGTTACGCACATAATTTTTCTTTCAAGTTCACAGCTACAAAATGATATTGCACTTCTTACAGCAATTTTATGAAAATTTACCTTGGAATTCTTCATCAACATATTCTCCCGTGGTATCCTAAAGTCACGAAATCCGAGAAACCCATTGTTAACGCCGTTCATCCCCAATTTTGTACCAATTTCTCCAATTACAATGCCTAAGAATTACATACAGATTAAATTTACATGTATCCATTGCTCAGCAAATTTGATCCAGATTATAAACAGAAAAATTGTTCGATTTCATAATTGTTGTTTGATTATGTGAACAGCGTGTTCTCTTTTCTACACATTGCAATATAATATATAACTAATTACAAAAGATTAAGACATTTATTTGTGTACCCTTTAAAGGTTCGTGTGTCTCCACGTCTCTTAACTGTACAACAAACAGATGAATACCCCTACATTCTCCCTGGGTGTATAATTGCGCAACGACTATTGCATGGTTTGCAGTGTGACCCACTGAAAATTTTATTTGTAAATAAATCATACTGTTTTAGTGAACGACATTATTATTATGTTAAACAATTGCAATATACTTACGTCCGCCTGGCCACCATTTGTAGGACGTCAAAGTTGGACTATTCAAAACGAACTCTTTCGTTTCCGGATCGTACGTTGCTGTAGTTTCCAAACCCCTGAGAAACGTTCCATGGCCTAGTTCGGTCTAAGGCAAAAGTGCAAGATTAAATTTACTTGAGAAACTTTTAGAATCTGTGACCATCCTGTTTAAAAAGAATGTTCTCCCTTGCGTATTACCTGCGCATATGTTCCTATAACATCGCCAGCCCAAGCTCTGTTTAACCAATATGCTTGCTGTTCAGAATTTGCTTGTCCCAGAATAGAGGGGCAAAAGCGGGTAGAAACATAGCATAATGCAGGAGCATTGGAGTTCCATCTTCGAATAGCGCAGTCCCAAGTCTTTCTACAAGAATATTTCTGCAAATACACTACATTGAGGATATTTTTTGCTATTGTATAATCAAGGAAGTTTTATTATCCTTTAGCATCTAAATAATATAAAAAAAAAACTAATTTAATTGTTAAGAATGACGTTATCCTCTTAATAGTTATCCTCTTATTCGACGACATTGAGAGCAAGTAGAAATATTTGCATATTTCTTTGCATCTGAAAAGCTAGTAGTATCTTTTTTTCACATAAGAAGATATATTATGCAACAGTTTTCTTGAGGTGAACTTTAAAATACTTACGTAATAAGATCAATATCTGCTTTTCCTGAGCGTTGCAATTCTCTAATTTTGTGAATAACATTGCGGGTAATTTGAACATTATCTTCATATAATTCTTTATGGCTCTTATATTTTATTGCTAGATTTTCTTTTAACACCAGATCATCCAAAAAATATTGTTCTGAAAATAAAATATGAACAAAAAATAATAAAACATAATACAGAAATGAAAATATTGCAAGAATAAAATGAAATAATAAGACGTATCTGTAGTTTTTAATAAACTTTATAAATGGGCAAGTTATGTATTCACGTTTAGGATACAAGTAAGTAATAATGTCATAAACTGCAGGTGCGTATACTGCCTTCTACATGCAATATATTCTGTCTTTTCCTTATTAATACCGCAATGTGATTCATAAATATGATATTAGCATTTTTCCGTGTGAATGACATTGAACTTTAAAATACGATATTTATGTCCTAGTAATTTATTAGTACTCCTAGTAGAAATATAAGCAGTAGTATCAGTGATATACTAACAAAATAAAGAAATATTAAACATATCGGAAAATAATGAAAAGAATAATGTCTGAATTAATTTATAGAAAGTTATTAAATAATACAATTTACTGCCTAATATTTTATTCATTTAATAATTTATTATCTTACAGTAAGTTGGATTATAGGAGTTTATAGTATGTTTGATTCTAGTGGAATCTAATGCTTCAATCTAAAGGGTATTGTCTTTTTAGTCTGCGGATCTGAACCGACGTGACAAGTAATTAGGTACTAATAGATTTTGTTCGTTGTTAACTCTTATATTATATCTGTTTCTGATATTGGATATTTCTTCTTTAACTGTGGGTATCTTCAGGTCGCGATGTATTGTTTCGTTGGTAACATACCAAGGTGCATCTATTAAGAATCTTAGAGCTTTTGATTGGAATCGTTGAAGAATTTCTATGTTGGTATTACTCGCTGTTCCCCATACCTGGATCCCATAAGTCCAAACAGGTTTTAGTAAGGCTTTATATAGCACTATTTTACTCTGCATGTTTAAATTGGAGCGTCTGGCAATGAGCCAGAAGAATATTTTAGTTTTGTTATCAGTTCTTTAGATTTATCTACAATGCACCGATATTTCTAATCAGAAACGAACATTGTTGACTTCATTATCGACCACATTCACTAATAATTTTCTTTCCATGCATTGCAAATATTGACCATCTCTATAATACTGTAAATTTGTTATGAGAAACGGTTTTCTAACTGCTGGTATTCACATCTTTTAGAAGCGATATCAATTACTCTTTGGTGAGAAACCTATAGTAACTCTAAGCCAAGAACATTTCTAATGCGTATCCAAATATTTTTTTTAATAATTACATTAAAAAATATATATAATAACAATATACAATTATATTTCGTTCTCGTGGAAAGGAAATATTAATTTTGCCAGAATTATTTAGTTCTTAATAACAGTGAAAACGAAAGAAACTGAAATTATTTTTTCGATAATTGGCGTTAAACTAAGAGGATAAACAAAAACTACCTATACCTTGATCACGGCGTTTTCTCGTTTTTTCTGCACTACCATCGAAGAAATACGTGACTTCCACAGGATCGAACGTACATCTACTTCGTTCATATTGTAAATCCTTGTTTACCACCATTTTCTGTTGCTTCATATTGTGTAGATTACTTTAAACTAATCACTGACAAAGGAGTGTGGTTGTCTAATCTGCAGGCGCACGTATCTATCTAGATAAATTTCTTTTCAAACGCCCGACTTTTATACATAAATATGGGATACTGCGTCACGATCGGAATATGAGCGTCATGTTCACACTGCGGATTTCTTATATTGCCGCGTACAATAGCTTCAAACCTTTGCACCTACCTAATTCACCATTTCCATTTCTAATCCAAGTCCAAACACAAACACAAACAACTGAAATGCAACATAATGCAAGGTATTTATAGCGAGATACGAGTAATCAGGTAAAACTATAATCTCATATTCTAGAATTATGCATAATTAGTTGTGATAATTCCTAATTAACAATGTTTTGTTTATCACTAGAAAGACTTCAAATGACTGCTTTCATAAATTACATATGAAATAAAATATATGAAATATCTTGACTCCGTACTACAAATTTCTTAATACGATCTTAAACAGAGTTGCACCCAACAACTAATGCACCCTCGATTCTACCTGTTTCTCCATTTCAAACAAGAATACATTCGGCATAATAACATAAAGGGAACATAAACCCCTTGTTAATTGATCTCTTTCGCAGGTCAGTATAATTTCGAACATTCCTCGGTCATATGTTTCAGGTTATGTGTCAGGGCACCTTTGCATAATTGCCATTGTTGACGCATGACCATAGACAGAAATATACTGGAGTGCAACCGGCAACTCTTAGCAAATTTCTCCAAATCTAAGGCCTAGCGCCGGGTTATATGCGTACGCAAAAGATTGAAATTTTGATTTCCATAACGTACCCCAAAATAGAGTTTCTGATATTGAACGTTTACTGAAAATACAGGCGTAGCTAATACCCGCGTGTTTCAATTCGTGTATTTCTTAATACACGGGTACACAGGTATTGAAATACTCGGATCTTAATATCTGTACTGAAGTTCATGGGTACACGTGTACAGAAATTACAGAATTTCACGTATATTAGTTCGCACCGTATTTCATTTTTAATTAGATATCAGAATGTTTAGATATGACAGGTACAATCACGCTTCATTTAAATCCATTTGAATGATGCACGGCTGATGTAGCAATGTCGGAGCGGTGTTTTTCATGTGCCGAAAATATTGTAACAAAGAAAAGAAACCGGTTACTAACAATTTTGGACCAAACATGTATATCACGAGTCTGACTCAAGCAATCTAATTCAGTAATTAAGATCGGACTCAAATTCATGATGTTCGGGCTATATCTACTGAAGTTTGATAGGACAAATAACGGTTAAATTCTAAACAATCACGGCAGTAGGCAATCCGAAAAATGGAACTTATATATAAGTTAAATTTAATTGGAACTTAATGTTATGAAGGAGGAAAAATACGAAAAATATAAGTGATCTATATGGAAGCAGTGAAGAAGATTCTAGTGATAACAACGTGAGTGTCAATAAGAAAGCGTGTGAGGCGTTTAATTATAGAGAAACATAGCGATATAAAATGACGATTAGAAGATGACGATAGAGAAAAGGAAAAGGAATTAAATGATTGTTTACAGCAAAGGTATGTATAGCTACTTTACAAGTTTACTTTAGTAGATGCTACTTTTCCATGATGCTTCTTTTCAAACCGAGAGGTTTGTGTTATGAGAGACATCTTGACTCCGATTTTGTCCAACTAATTCGTGCAGGCAAAGAATTTTAATAATAGACACACGTTGCTTCTAAATCGATTCCTATTTCAAAATATTACGTACTTGATACTCGTTGGATGTAACATACGAAGCGAATATATATCATAATTCAAGACCTTGGTACCGCAGTGGTACCAATGAATCTCACAAATTGCATTATATTCCTGTAGAAATAGTATTAATTCCGTTACGATAGGAAATTAACAATAATTGTAGTATGTTAGTACAAGAAACAATACTACATGTATGTCACCACTTCTATTCCGTAAATAAATACTGTTCCATATCAAAGCCTTTCAATTCTAAAATGTAATTTTCTTTGAGGCGTTATAGGTTCAACAATAAAAATATACATTTTTCTAGTTCAAGATATTATTTTATTAATTCTAGAAACTGTATAGAAAATACCATTTCCCATAACATATTTAAGACGTCTCATCTCAGAATGATCGCATATTTCCAGAAAGCTTTTTATAAATATAAAATCTCTATCAAACACTCATTCACAATTATTACAGTGATGCTTCTTTGTATAAATTACACATTTACAATGACAGCGAATAGAAATGGTACAAAAATAAGTTCGATCCTTCCTTTGTTTTTCAATATAAACTCTCAGTAAAATGGACAAGTGAGCACGCATATTTCTCTTCGGTATCGCTCATATGATATATTGCAGTTGTTACATCTTATAAATCAATACCCAACAAACCATTCAATCGATTATTTAATAACAAATGCAAAATACGTCTTACCATAACAACTAAATGCAACATATCCCAAACAATCCAATCGCCACAAAACAAATACGAGATAATAATTATGATTAAACATTTCCTTTAAAAAGATTACACTATAAATTACTCTTAAGAAATGGTTTTAAGTATTTTTCAAAAGATATGTTCACAGCTTCACGGTTCAGAGGACTCTTCATGGCTTCTTGAAACAATCGTTCGTAAACGTTACCATCGTAAGCACCCAAAGCCGAGCAAAGAATATGGTCATCGAAATCGAAACCGTCAACGATTCCTACAGCATTTCGACGGATTGTCGTCAGCAAATATTCCAAGCGTGAATGAAGTGTCTCCACATGCTCTTTCTGCATAGAAGAAAACTAAAAAAGAGAAAGAGACGAATCACTCTTGAATTTAAATTATCCTACTGTATATAGTAATAAATTTTTTCTTCTTTCGCAGTTCCCTGTGATTAGTTTCGAAAAAAATCAATACTTACCCGAAGAAAATTACCAACGTTTCTCAAAGCCCAATATACGATATACAGTTCGCAGAGTTGAAACATTACTTGACGAAATTCTTCAGACTTCGAGTTTAACTGTTTAATGCAACATATCCCAAACAATCCAATCGCCACAAAACAAATACGAGATAATAATTATGATTAAACATTTCCTTTAAAAAGATTACACTATAAATTACTCTTAAGAAATGGTTTTAAGTATTTTTCAAAAGATATGTTCACAGCTTCACGGTTCAGAGGACTCTTCATGGCTTCTTGAAACAATCGTTCGTAAACGTTACCATCGTAAGCACCCAAAGCCGAGCAAAGAATATGGTCATCGAAATCGAAACCGTCAACGATTCCTACAGCATTTCGACGGATTGTCGTCAGCAAATATTCCAAGCGTGAATGAAGTGTCTCCACATGCTCTTTCTGCATAGAAGAAAACTAAAAAAGAGAAAGAGACGAATCACTCTTGAATTTAAATTATCCTACTGTATATAGTAATAAATTTTTTCTTCTTTCGCAGTTCCCTGTGATTAGTTTCGAAAAAAATCAATACTCACCCGAAGAAAATTACCAACGTTTCTCAAAGCCCAATATACGATATACAGTTCGCAGAGTTGAAACATTACTTGACGAAATTCTTCAGACTTCGAGTTTAACTGTTTGACAGCTTTTGCAAATGTCTTTACAATGAAAACTCGAGCGTGAGCTTCCGCACACTGAGCTAGTTCGATGCCCGTTTGGTTCCACGCCTCCTCCATCGGAACTCCGTCACGTATTCTGCGATCCAAATGTTCTGCTGCTGAACGAACGAATCTACGGAATGGTAAGAATAATAAGAATACCTATGCAATTACTTAGCAATATTTAATGTATGCATTATACCCTGCGGCTACCGCGTCATAGGCATCAATCAGACATTCCAAATCGTTACTCCAACGACGATGTTTTACTCCTTTTGCTGCTTCGTTAAGATACTCTACAGAATCTGGCAATGGTTCACCATTCATAGCTTGTTTCCATGATTTTACGAGGTACCTAGCTGTTTGCAAAAGTAGGACTGTGTTTTCTCCTTCGTAAGTACAGACTGCAGTGGCCAATCCGTAAAGTCCTGGCAGATTGCTGGCAGTCATGTATCCATGTCCACCACAAGATAACCGAAGTTGCTCTATTCCAGCTGCTGTATCTGCAGATACAACTGCTTTTAGGCAACATGACAAAGAATGTAACTGCAAAAGAAATTAATAGATCTAGAAATATGAAGAAAAATATATTACTATAAAGGGTATAAACCAACCTCCGGTAGTTTTTCATAATCTGCCTGGTGCAATTGACTTTGTACCGTATTATACATATCCCAAACCCAACTGGCAGTAACTTTTATTGCGAAACATGTGGCAATATGAGGGAAGATTTTGTGTTGTTGCGTTACGTAATCGAGAATCTGTACCTCTGGTTGTCTAAAAGGAAAGAATAAAACAAATACTAATTTGGTATCAGCAGGAGAGATTTAATTTTAATTAAAAGAAACATTTCCAATGGAGGCATTTTTCAATAAAGAGACATAGGGCAGTCGATGTTACTGGAAATTGTTTTTAACACAACATACTCCGGATTTATTTGACCTTGACGTCTTACTACGCTGTATCGAACCGCAATAGTAACAGCTTTCATTAAATAGTGTAGGAGGTCCTGCAGCAACATTACTCGAACGAACACCATCGTACCGTACGTTAACTTATCATTCATAGATTTTATGTATGTTCCATCCTCTAGTACCTACAACAAGAAATGTAACTTTACAATTAGTTCTAATGATTATTACGATGTCTGAACAGTTCTGTTTATACAGATTACGAACATAATTTTCCTTTCAAGTTCACAATCACCACATGATATTGCACTTCTTACAGCAATTTTATGAAAATTTACCTTGGAATTCTTCATCAACATATTCTCCCGTGGTATCCTAAAGTCACGAAATCCGAGAAACCCATTGTTAACGCCGTTCATCCCCAATTTTGTACCAATTTCTCCAATTATAATGCCTAAGAATTACATACAGATTAAATTTACTGTTTGCTATATCTATTGTTCAGCAAATTATAAACAAGGAAGTTGTTTGATTTCATAATTGTTGTTTGATAATGTGAACAGCTTGTTCTCTTTTCTACACATTGCAATATAATATATAATTAATTACAAAAGATTAAGACATTTATTTGTGTACCCTTTAAAGGTTCGTGTGTCTCCACGTCTCTTAACTGTACAACAAACAGATGAATTCCCCTACATTCTCCCTGGGTGTATAATTGCGCAACGACTATTGCATGGTTTGCAGTGTGACCCACTGAAAATTTTATTGTAAATAAATCATACTGTTTTAGTGAACAACATTATTATTATGTTAAACAATTACAATATACTTACGTCCACCTGGCCACCATTTGTAGGACGTCAAAGTTGGACTATTCAAAACAAACTCTTTCGTTTCCGGATCGTACGTTGCAGTAGTTTCCAAACCCCTGAGAAACGTTCCATGGCCTAGTTCGGTCTAAGGCAGAAGTGCAAGATTAAATTTACTTGAGAAACTTTTAGAATCTGTGACCATCTTGTTTAAAAAGAATGTTCTCTCTTGCGTATTACCTGTGCATATGTTCCTATAACATCGCCAGCCCAAGCTCTGTTTATCCAATATGCTTGCTGTTCAGAATTTGCTTGTCCCAGAATAGAGGGTAGAAACATAGCATAATGCAGGACCAACGGATTTCCACCTTCGAACAGTGCAGACCCAAGTCTTGCTCCAAAGATATGTCTGCAAAGGTACTACATTGAGGATGTTTTCTGTTTTTGCTATTGTATAACCAAGGAAGTCCTATTATCCTTTAACACTGAAAGAAAATATCTAAATGATATAGAAAGAAGCTAATTTAATCTTTAGTATAATTATCCCCTTATTCCATAACATTGAGAAATATGACATTGCATATTTCGTTTTATCTAAAAATGTAGGAATATTTCTTTTGTCACATAAGAAATGTTGGAACTTGCTTGGTTATGTAACAGTTTCCATGAGATGAACTTTAAAATGCTTACAAGAGAAGATCAATATCTTCTTTTCCTGAGCATTGCAATTCTCTAACTTTTTGAAGAACATTGCAGGCAATTTGTAAAGAATCTTCATATATTTCTTTATGACTCTTATATTTCATTGCTACATTTTCTTTTAATGCCAGATCATCCAAAAAATATTGTTCTGAAAATAAAAATTGTCATATATAAGCACATATAAAATAATGAAAAAGAAAATAGAAAAATGGAAACACTAGTAGAATAAAATACAACAATTAAACATGTGTGCAATTTTTATTAGGGAATGTTATAAATATATAAAATTTTTAACATTTACTATTAACAGTTATATAACTATATAACTAACAGTTACTATTATTCATTAACTGTTGCAGAATTAAATACAAGGAATATAATAGATATGTATCCACATTTAACATACATATGAAATGTAATGTAGTACATACTGCGTAATGACTATGTTGTAAGTTGCAAATGTATACCAACTTGTATTGTATTATATTGTAACTTTGTTTAATGTTTAATGTGTATGGATGCATTCCAATGTAGATGAAGATAAACTCAATGTTTAAAGTCAATGTTTATGTCTTAGCAAATTTAGTAGTATTCTTAGTAGAAATATATGGACTATGTAAATTATTTTACAACAGAACTGATTTCTACTTTTATTGTGTAATAAATATATTTAAACAAATGTTATTGTGTCAGTTATACAGTAACAAAGTAAGAAAATATTAAACGTAATGGGATACAATGAAAAGAATAATGTCAATCAATTTATAGATAATTAATAAATAATACATAGCAATAATTTACTGCTTAATTATTTATTCATTTAATAATTTATTGTTCATTAGTCGCTTACAATAATTTTGGTTTATAATAATTCAATTTCACATATAAATGAAACATATCACAAGTACATACATAAATAATTATGATAAAAATATCTTTAGATTATAATGTGCGGGTTGATATGAAATTCAACTATACCGTTCACCACACGGTTGTTAGAATTTACATCATATACTAGAGTTCCAAATAAAATAAAATATTTGAGAACTGGTTTTTCACAACATTATCCAATAATTTTAAAAAAATCAGAATCGCGAAAAAAATAGCGTCGTTTTTTTATAACTTTCATATTTTAATCTGTAATAAAAATGTAAACAATACGTTTTGTAAATTTGTGTCAGTTATATTCATGCTGAAAACTTCATTGGAATCGGTTGATGCAGGAACAAATGACAGGCATTGATACGTGAAAAAAGATGGATAGATATACATATAGATGTATTGCAGTTACACACCCGAAGTCGCGGAAAAATACGATTTGCATGACTTCTAACCGTTCGTAGATCATAGCAACGATTACCAATTTCAATGAAATTTTCAGCATATATATTCATGTATAAATGACATAAATCTACAAAATTTATTTTTTAAATTTTTATTGTAGACTCAGATAAAAGAGTTGTAAAAAGCGACGTTTACTGTTTCCATAATTTTCATAATAATAATAATGTAACCATAATTTCATCAAAAATTTTTTACACATCATCTAATAAACAAATCCTTGTAACTCAGAAAAACTCAAGCCACGATCGGTCCTATTTTTAAAAAGTCATTGCGTTTTAAAGAATGTGCCAATAGTATTCGATACTGTAATTCTTTGATAAAATAAATTTTTTTCTTACATTCTTTGAGAAGCACATATCTTAAGAATAATTTCTCTAAATTTTATGAAAAAATCTATAAAATTATTTCTTTTACGTTCGGTGTTGCGTACGCGCAACACTGTACTTTTCAAAATTACTAATTAACTAAACATGCTATTTTTCTCAAAGCCGAAAAAGACATTTGGATTCGATTATTTAATATTTTTTTCATCATTATTATTGTGACACAATTTTAATCTGTAATTTAGAAATTCGTACTGAAAACATTGTAAATGTATTATTACAATACTATTAAATTATGAGAAGCATTATGAGATATTATGAGAAGCATTAAAGCACATAATATAAAGATCGTTTGTATGAAGAATTTTCATTATGAATTAGATGCAGTTGATTCTGATGATTAGTAGTGACTGAATTGTGTGAATTAGCAATGATTAATAGATCTTAATCCTAATTAACAGTAAAAAATGTAAATAATACATCTGTTTAACATGAATCAACCTGATAGACCAGTTATATTAAAGAACAGAATAGATCACATATTATCCCTAGAACATCACCTAGGGATTTTTCTATTAAGAATTCTCATCTATTCATTCTATCAACGAAACTGTTCAGTTTTCTCACAAAAACCAATGCAGATTTTATATACTATTATTACATAAATTTGATAAAGATATCAATAAATTTATTAGTGATAATATAAGAAAATTTTATCACTGATTATAGTTACAATTTACGTTCCATAACGAAATAATAGCGTACAAATTCAAGATATTCCCAGAAATTTAATATTTTCACAATTTCTACATAATATATATGTATTTAATTACTTTTGATCTTCGAACATGTAAAAAAACTTTTTTGTATAATTTATAAGTACAATAAAAAATCTTTGAGCGGAAATGATACATTTAGTACATATGTACAAATTGTCAAAATATTTATAGAATGTGCTACTTTATCGCGACGTATAGATGGTTATAGATTATAGGAATCGATTTATATCTCTAATCTGAAATGGACTTTGAAATGACTTAATTACCAACTACGTTAACTAATAACATTCTTTCCATTTATTTTCAGTATTAAAACTCTATATTTTTACAAATAAAATAGTAATATATAATTATATTTTGATCTCGTTAAAAGCAAATATTAATTTTGCTAAAATAGGAAATATTAATTATGCTAGTTCTTAATAATTACGAAAAAGAAAGAAATCACTTTGTCATGTTTAATAATTGGTGTTAAACTAAGAAGATAAATAATTTAAACTGCGTATACCTTGATCACGGCGTCGTTTCGTCTTTTCTGGACTGCCATCGAAAAGATATGTAACTTCCACAGGGTCAAACGTACATCTACTTCGTTCATATTGTAGATCCTTGTTCATGTTCATTTTCTGCTGCTTCATGTTATAGAGATTACTTTATACCGTCTACAAATGTAAAAGTGAATGCCAGGTCGATCAACGCACTTATCTATCTTAATATTATCTGCTACTCAAATGCACGATTTTATATATAAATATAGTTATACGTCACAGTGATGAACTGAATGTCATTAATGGTAGTTCCCGTTAAAATTTCTACTACAATTGTATATTATATGTGTATGTAACAGCTTGGAACCTTTCTATATAACTGATTCACCGTCTTTCTCTATAATACGGGCTACGACATATATATGTTCATACGATGCAGCAAAATCGTAAATTGTAAAATAAATAATCAGTTACAGTACCGTCTGGCATTTTAAGACTAACCGTCCCTATGTAATAGCTTGTATTACTTTAAGATTTACTTGCTTGTAATAATTACTTGTAATAACTTCTAACTAACAGTCTCTTATTTACAACTAGAAAAGCTTCATATCATTATTTTGAGAAATTATATATAAAATATTTTATACGTATACACAGTACCTTGATTTTGTATTACACATATTTTTGTACGGTCCTGGCCAAAGTACTAAGTCCTTATGTACCCTCATGTCTATCTGTTCCCACCAATTTCTCCATCTTATAAATGAAGCATGATTAATATTCGAACTTACTACTGCACTTGCGCTGTACTTGCAATCTTATCGATACGAAAACGGTACCCACATTCGACATAACAACATAAAAAGGATATAACCTATTCTATATCACATCTTTGCTTATTGACCAACCCTCTTTTTGGCGGGAAATTATAATTTCGAATATGTCTCGATCATATATCAGGTCATATGTCAAGACTCCTTTACACAATTGAACTAATATTATTACTGAAACTTTTTCAAGTAAGAAATTACAAGTTACAAGGCTTTATATTCAATATATTCCAACGTGTTTTAGAAGTAAGTTAGATTGGAAACATATTTCATTGAATATTTACATCATAATGCCTTAACTTAATTTGTCGCATTTTATTGTTATTATTTAATAATCTGAGCGATATGTTTTACATATTATATAAATGTAGACATTCCTCTATAAAATAGTGTTTGGATTTTTACATTTCATGTATTCATTTCGAAATTATCGTCATTTGAAGTTAGAATTCCAATTCACCTTTCAGGGCCCCATCAACTTCAGCTTTGATACACATTACAAATTACAAATCAGCTTATTATCTCAGTTACCACAAAATAAAAGAAATATATGCATATATTAAAAAATATTTTTCACTATGAAAAAAAATGATAAATGACGCTTTTTTAATTTAGACTATTCTCATAATCACCGATACAATAGCACTGCATTTGTAAAATTATTCAAAATAATATTGTCCTTCTCTATTACTTCCGCTTAATGTCGATACGTAGGAAATGTTGATTCCGCCATCTTGCAATTCTTTGCTGAAGGGAACTTGTACACTTCGTTATGAGGTACGGACCGTCCAGAAATTTATAACTACATTTTAACAATATTCACTCAAATTTAATTCATATTATTTACAACATCAATAGAAAGATCTGTATTAACTAGTATTTAGTTGAAATTATTATATTTTACACATTTTATATTGAATAGTTTGTTGACGACTGACCACATGGTTTCATGATTGAGATTTGTGTATTTTAGGTGTATAATTTCATGTCTAGAAAATTACAATTAAATTGTAGTAATTGTTGTGTATATAAATCATATCAGAATGACGTTTTAAAGCGATAAAAACTGTATTTGATATTAATAATTAGTTATCACAACATAACCTCACTTTTTGATATTACAGTTCGTTAAAACTACAGAAGAGGCTTGCAGCCTCTGTTATGCGATGTGGTAAAAAGAAGGTCTGGTTAGATCCCAATGAAATTAACGAAATTGCAAACACAAATTCTCGTACGTTCTTCTGTGAAAATTAAATTCTGACTTCAATCGATGTATATAAGTTTTTATTTACTTATTTTTCTTCTTAAGGGCAAAGCATTAGAAAGCTGATTAAGGACGGTCTTATTATTAAGAAACCTGTTGCTGTTCATTCAAGAGCTCGAGTTCGCAAAAATACAGAAGCTAGACGTAAAGGGCGTCATTGTGGTTTTGGTAAAAGGAAAGGTACAGCAAATGCTCGTACACCTCAAAAGGTAAATATAAATTTTCATAATTATCCTTTAGAAAATCATTTCTTCGTTACATACATAAATTATAATAGTGTAATAAAAATAAATTATATTATTTCTTTCCAGGATCTTTGGATCCAAAGAATGAGAGTTCTTCGTAGACTCCTGAAGAAATATCGTGAAACAAAAAAGATTGATAGACATCTCTATCATTCTTTGTACATGAAGGCTAAGGGTAACGTGTTCAAGAATAAGAGAGTTTTAATGGAATTCATCCATAAAAAGAAGGCTGAGAAAGCGAGAGCAGAGATGCTTTCGGATCAAGCAGAGGCACGTCGTACTAAAGTTAGGGAAGCGCGTAAACGCAGAGCAGAACGTATTGCTACAAAGAAACAAGAATTACTGCAGTCATACCAGCGCGAAGATGAAGCCGCAGCAGCGCAAAAAAAGTGATCTAACAATTTTACAGATTGTTGTATAAATAAAATCTAAAAAACATTTACTTCTTTTAATCTGATTGCTGGTTACCATTTTTATTCTTTGTAAGGATGTGAGATACATATATAATTTGCATATATAATACATGCATAAAGATAAATTCATTTAACATTACATTTTACTCAATAATAGTGGAACGGTTTTTTAAGTAATTATTAATATTATCATTATTGTTTATTTTAATTATTCCAATTGTTCATCATAATAACCTGAAGTGGGATATTAGTCGTGTTTTGAATATTTAATTTTTGTTTGACATGCTTTTAATTTTATATTTTAATGAAATTTTTTACATTAAGAATCACATTTCCTTCAAATAAATGGTTATTTACTGCTAATATATTTATAAAAGAAACTATCAATTATATATGTAGTTCAAATTTATATATCGAAATCTGAATATTTATTTAATATTTCTATAAATTTAATGCCCGTAAAAATTATAGCATAAACTAAGGATTTGTTTTTAAAGCTAATATGTAATTGTGCCTGCAGATGGAAGCACTGTTATTTCCTAAAGCCATAGGATATAGCGAAAGTATCGAGTATATAACCAAAATTTGACTAAAAGTCAAGAAACACCATTCTTTCAACGACGCACGCTTTTAAGAAATATATATTACAATATAAAAGGTATTTATGTCAATATTCGAATATTCAAATGAAGAATTATTTTATTCTGATGTCCATTAAAAATAAAGCACTCGCAATAGGTTAGGAACATGAAATTAAGGCGTACGAAATAATAAAATCTTGAAATAAAAAAGATAATAAAATATCGTTTGCCAAAGTAAATAACATTTTTACAAAATTGTATGTATGCTGCACCCGTATCAAGCAATTTATATATTCTAATAAATAGGCTTATTCAATAATAAATATTATTTCGTAATACATTTTAAGTAATGTGAATTGTATAACGAATCGTCATGTCTATATTTAAAAAGTAATATAAGAGATATATTTAATATTTTGTATTACATGAACGATAATTATTTTAATAAATGAATAAATATTTCCAAAGAAAGATGATATTTTAATCAATAGTTTAGGGTTTTTTAAAGTTGAATTATTGTTTACAGCTGTATTCTCCTCATGTCTTACTGAGAACTGATACACTGATGATGGAGCAAGAGGAACATGTCCGTAAATATTTATATGTTTCAACTTAGTACAAGAATTTCTAATTCCTTTCTTTTCGTATTGTACGATTATTTTCCTATATAATTGAGAAGATTATTAATTCAAATTCATGAAATTGATGAAATTTGTTTGCAGAGGATACTGAATTTGAAAGATCAGCAGTTACATCAATCAAAATGACCAACAAAAAAGGAACTGTTCCAGAAAAATCAAGAGAGGAAATAAAAGCAGAACGCGAAGCAAAGAAAGCTGCTAAAGCTAATGCTAAGGCAAAGGCTAAATCGACTAAAACGTCAAACAAAGACCCTTCCGATAATAATAAACCTATCCCTTCCAATAGTACTAAGATTAAAAAAAGCAATGGTATACCAGAAACTGTAACTAACAAAAATATTGAATCTCCTAATGAAGTGCTAGTACCGGTACCAGAACCAGTACCAGTACCAGTAATCGGTAAGACCCCAAATACATGTGAAAAAAATGAGAAAATAGTACCAGAAAGCGGTAGTGAAGGGAAGAGCAAAGCGGTATTACGAGCTGAAAGAAGAGCAAAGCAAGAAGCACAAAGAGCAGCCAAACAACAAATTTTATCAGAAAAAAGTAAAGTTAGAAGTAAGGAAGAAAATAATAATAATAATAGTAATAAACCTGTAACACACACTACCAGTGTGACAGATATAGTGAAAAAAGTATCAACACAAAAAAAAATCATTCAAAAAATTAACACTCATGAAATAAATCTGTTCAAACATTTATATCACGAAAGAGAACAGGCCATTGCTGATGTATCCTTTGTCAATTCGAATATACACCCTGCAATAATTAGATTAGGTACGCAATATGCAAGCAAAATAATTGTAGGCAGCAACGCAAGATGCGTTGCTCTTTTAGCTGCTGTTAAGCAACTTATTCAGGACTTTGAAAGACCACCACAGGCTGACTTTATCCGAGGTTTCGAAGCAAATTTGCAAGAATCTGTAGCCTACTTGCATCATTGCAGGCCATTGGCTGTTTCAATGCAGAATGCATTAAGGCACTTAAAATGGCAAATGGCACAGTTTCCCTCTTCATTGTCTGATGAGGATGTGAGTAATTTTATACACATTTTCGTTTGATATATGTTTGATGATATTTTTGAGATGAAATAAAAATGTCGTATGTTTTAGGCAAAAAATAAATTAAGTAATGCAATAGATACTTATATACGGGAGCAAATAGAACTTGCTGATAAGGCAATATCGATAACTATACAAACTAAAATATCCAATGGAGATGTTATCTTAACTTATGGCTAGTGAGTTCTTATTTTGAAGACATCTTAGAAAGCCTCTGTATATTTTCAACATTTGCAATAAAATTTATATTGTTTACAGTTCATCTTTGATACATAAAATATTGTTAGACGCGCATACTGCGGGTAAAGAATTTCGTGTTATTGTCGTGGATGGAAGACCATGGTTAGAAGGGAAAGAACAACTTAGGCGTTTAGCGAAACATGAAATTGAATGCTCTTACATTTTAATTAATGCTTTAAGTTACGTGATGCCTGAAGTAAGCAGAACTGAAAGATGATTTTTATATTACTTAAATACTTTTTAAGATTATTGACAATAATAAGACTACTGAATAGGTGAGCAAAGTGTTTCTTGGTGCTCATGCGATATTAGCGAATGGTGCGGTAATGTCAAGGGTTGGTACCGCTCAGGTTGCCTTAATGGCCAGAGCGTTTAATATTCCAGTGTTAGTTGCTTGCGAAACTCATAAGTCTTGCGAACGCGTACAGACAGATTCTATTGTCTATAATGAATTAGGTAAGCAGAAGACTTTATGCGTGTTTTTATATCACCAATTTATTTATTCATAATTATTCTATATTAATATAATGTATGTATATATTTTTATTTTTTTCTCTATTGGTGATTCATTCATAGGAAATGCAGATGAGCTAGTACAAGATTATGGAAATGGTGCGCAAAAATCATTATTAACGAACTGGAGAACAAGAAAGTCGTTGAATCTTTTAAATATTATGTACGATGTTACACCAGCTAATTTAGTGACAGCTGTTGTTACAGAATTAGCTATTCTACCATGCACTAGTGTTCCTGTGATTTTACGTATTAAACCATCGGAGATATAAATTTTACTATGCCTCGATTATTTCACATAGCGTTCAAATATCAATATAAAACGTGTAATTACCGCGTCCTCTATACCCGTGTATATAAATTTGTTTTTAGTCGAATTTTCAAAATTGTAACACTTCAAGAACAGGGAAATATACACTGCGACCTGCTTTTTTACTCATGCCTTTAAAGTAATTATTTTTACATACTATTATTGTATATTATGTTGTATATCTTAAAATAAATTTCTGAAACCTTAATTGTATAATTATATTTTGTTAGTATATTTCTGTGCTATTAGAATAGAGCGTTGTAAGAGATAACTGAAAGATACAATATAACATACTACTAAATTTACTGAAAGAAAAAGGCATCTCCACATTAAAAAATTGTAATTTTGTGATATCTCTATATTTGTAAAATTACTATTCACATAAATTTTAAACAAATGATTACTTTTTTCAAATAATTAAAATACTTCCTTTCTTTTCTATTACTTCATGAACTAGAGTAAAAATCAAAAGGATATAATATTTTAAAGTCCATTTATAATTCATTAATTTTACGGTATTGTTTTATGGATAAGATTCAGATCCATCTAACCTCATGATGGTTTTTAGAATATCATAGAAGTAATAACATAGACAAAAACATTTTATCATACATTATAATTATTATTTTTATAATCATACAAATCAGTGACATCTAAATGACTCTGAATTATTCATATATGCGTTTAATTGAGCTGAATTTTATAGTTTAAATGAATAAAAATAATATTTTTGTTTTGTAGGTTAACCTTCAAATATTTTAATTGTTTTCCCTCTTCTGATGTCTAGCTAATTATTGTAAATAAATGTAAATCAAAATGCTTAGCCAAAGATTTGCAACAAAATACGTCATAAAACAATTCGGAAAATTAATTTCCCCTTTTTCAACACAAATAAAAATTGATGACATATTAACTACATATTTAAAACTCGATAATAATACTATTGAAACATTTCATGAATACAAAAAGAAGAGTAAAATTATAAAAATATCGAAAAACAGACTTATTCGGAATTGTATAACATTGCGCGTAAGTATGATTTATTCATAATATTATTGAATGTTACACAATCTGTATATTATTAATAACTCGTTAATTTCTCCTGTTTTACTAGGATTTGGATATAAGATTAGAAAAGAAGGAATATTTGCTAGAATGCTTAATGCTCGATCCTAAACTCTTGAAGAATAGAATTCTTGTGCTTAAAGAAGTGGGCATAGACTCTGTAGATTTATTTCATATTAGACGGTATGTCAATTGTTTTTAGCTAAATAAGGTTACACTTTAAAGCTCAAATATAATATTTTGCAACTATATATTTTAAGTTATAGTATACAATTATTTCTTTATTTTAGGTTTTCAATATTAATGTACAAATCTGTGAACCAGTTCAAAAAGTTACATGGCATTTCATCTAGTCAAAGTATTATGAGAATTTTATTTTCTAATATAGGCATTAAAGTTGATATACCTGATCAAAAAATGCTAAAAAAAGAGACTACTATGCGAATTGGTAGTTATTATCAATTGTGTGTGTTATACCATAAAACATATCATATGAAATTGCATGATGAATTGTTTTATAAACAGAAGAAAATGAAATATTTAAGTCTTACAGAAATGTCCAGAATGCTAGATGTGCTGAAACATAAATGTCAGTTTGATATAGAATTCGTAAGTATAATTATTTGGAGAAAAAAATACATTAATTTATAAATAGCTTAATCTAACACAATATTTTTTACAGTTAAAACAACACCTTTACCTTCTAAATGTGGATGTTGACAACGTTGAACAATTTTTAAATGAATTTAAATACCTAAAAATAAATAATAAAAATATGTTTGAAATAATAAGAATATATCCCCGAATCCTGCTTCGTGATGTAAGTGAAACAAAAGAATTATTACAAATTTTCCAGAGCTTCGAAATACCACATAGATCTCTATATACTATAGTGAATGGTTTGAAAATGAAGAAAGACACGTTTTTAAGACGGTATACTGCTATAGAAAATAACTTAGAGTTAGCTATATGGTTGAAGCATCCACGAATCATGTTTATGACTTATTTCTACAAATTGGTCATAAATCGTTTAACATATTTGAAACATTTAAACCTTGCGAACAATGCAAATATTAACACATATTTATCAAATAAGGAATTCTTTTCGAGGTAATCATTCTGATCAGATAGGACATAAATGTTATTAATAATTGTAGTATGATGTATGTTTAAACTCTTTAACATTAATTCATAATTTCAGATTTTTGGAAGGAAATACTTATGTAGCAGCAGGAAAACATTTAGCATATATTTTAAGGAAAGAACTAGGGCATGACAAGGTTCATGTTTTGTCTTCTATTCAACGACATCCTTATTGGAGATATGTTTCACTGACACAAATCAGTGAAACAATACAATATTTGAAGGAACATTTTTCAATAGATAATATATGTAAAAATATTCAGATTATACTTTATCCAATGTGAGAAAATATTTACATTATTTAAAAATATTGAAATATATTATATATAAATATTAAAATACAGATTATATTAATATAGGTCGACAATTGATAATACATTAAATTTGTTGTACAAAGAATGTTCCTTACAAGATGGATATAATTATACTCCTACACAATATTTGGCATTATGTTTGTACAAGTTAGAACAAAAACATCATTTCAGTGGGGACGGAGTGTGGCAAACCAAAATGTCGGTTTTCAATCCAAATGTTTTGGAGGATGGATATGAGCTTCACGAACTTGTTGATCATATAAATCATGGTTACAACGAAGTGATCAATTCAAATGGAGCAGCATGGCTTGAACATTTACTACAATACTAAGTGCGTGTAAAAGATATATAAAGGGTTTCATAGAGCATAACAATTAAATATTTCTAGAAATATGAGTAATGTAAAATCTGCTAATAGGCAAAATTAGAAACTAACTCTTTGATTCAACAATTTTATATGCGATAGTATCATAAAGATTTTACAAGATTACTGACGTTGTTTAAACAACGTAGTATATACTTTTTTATCCAAAATACATTTTAATTGAATCATAATCCATATTCTAAAACAAACTGATTTAAAGATTTGCCTAAAAATATTTTATTTTTTCCTGTTAACCTTTGCAGTTTAGTTGTACATATTTTCAATTGTCATGCTTTATGTGATTTATGTATATGTGGATTACAATAAATTTGCTATTAATGGATTGGTCATTAAGTGATTGCATATTTTAAATAAGAAGGAAAATTCAAAATTTTTGCTTAAAAATATAACTTTATTCAATTAGGTATTGTCTGTTTTTGTCGATGACCTTTTGCCATCTTTCATGCAGTGTCATAATTCCATGTTCATAAAACTTCTGATTTTTGCCAGCAAAAAACTGAATTAAATGTGATTTTACATTATCAGCGTCATTAAAAATTTTACCATTTGAGGAGTTTTGCATGGAACGAAATAAATAGTAATTTGAAGGCGCAAGGTCAGGGCTATATGGTGGATATGACAACACACCCCAACCTAGTTCCAATAATTTTTGGCGAGTGACCAAAAATGTGTGGGGTTTTGCATTATCAAACAAAAACCTAATAACAAACAAATCTATAACATAACTCGACTAATGATCTCGGTAGTAAAAATCGAATCTGCTTTAATAAAAAAAAGAGATAGTGCAATGTAAAAGGTGCCAAAGGTACGGTCATACGCAGAAATACTGCAATCATAATTTCCGCTGCATTAAATGCGCAGGTACACACCTCACTGAGCAGTGCACTAAATCATCAGAAACCCCAGCGAAATGCATCCACTGTTAAGGAGACCATCCTGCTAACTACAAAGGTTGCTCAGCCTACAAAACCCTATACATAAAAAAGTATCCTAAACTCAGAGCCAAAGAGACAACCAATCAAATACCCAGTCCTCCAAAATTCACTACTACTTCAATCTCCTATGCCCAAGCAGTACAAGGAAATCAAAATAATCCGAAAACCCATAGGGACCATTCTCAAAATAGTATTCCCAATCCACAAAACACAGACAACTTCTCTAGACTTGAAAAATTAATCGAAAAACAATCAGAACAAATAAATAACTTACTATCATTATTAACACTCATCATGGATAAGTTAATACGCCCCGACGCATAGCTCTTTGGAATGCCAACGGTCTAGCTCAACACAAATACGAACTAGAATTCTTCCTAAAACAGCAGCAAATCGACGTAAAAACTAGAACTCTTCCTAAAACAACAGCTAATCGACGTAATGCTCATATCTGAAACCCACTTCACCGACAAAAGGTATCTGAAAATAAACGGTTATAACTTCTACCATATTTTCAAATGTACCAATCATTATCAAATCCAGCATTAAGTATTATGAGCTTCTATCATTCCAGAAAGACTACCTCCAAGCTACAAACGTAGCAATAGAAGACTGCCATGGTACAATCACCACTTCAGCAGTACATTGCCCTCCCAGACACTCCATTGCTAAAGAAGACTTTGATAACTTCCTTGATGCTCTGGGCAATAAATTCATAGTTGGAGGAGACTATAATACCAAACATACCCAATGAGGCAGCAGACTTGTCACAGTAAGAGGCAAAAATCTCTTGAATAGCATAATCACCAACAATCTCAACTACCTCACCACATACTGGTCCACTGATACTAACAAAATACCTGACTTACTTGACTTCTTCATAACTAAAAATATCTCGCCAAGGTATGTCCAAATCAATTCCTCGGCGGATCTCTCTTCCGACCATTCCCCGTTATAGCAACAGTCAGTTCAACAATTATCAAGAATCCATAACCAACTCACCAACTGGCAGCTCTTTAGAGAAGTCTTTAATCACTCAACTTCAGCCTCAATTTCACTAAAAACAACAATTTCACTAAAAACAAATGCTTCAGCCTCAATTTCACTAAAAACAAATGAAGATATCGAAACAGCCACGAAATATTTAAACACGAGCATAATAAACGCTACCTAATAAGACTTCTATCAGCAAACATGAATATCCCCATTACATATTAAAAAAAAATCGCAGAAAGACGTAGACTAAGAAGAGTATGGCAGATTAATAGAATACCGGATGACAAATGCAAACTAAACAACGCAACTAGGAAGTTAACTAAAATCATCAAAAAATATAAAAATGATTAGGTTAGGTGCTTTGAACACGTCGACAAAACAAAAGAATGTGCTAAGAATGTGCTCTATTGACAAAATCTGCAATCACTTAGTTGCCAATCTAATAGTATGGATTATATATCGAAACAAGATTCCTCTCGTGATATATTTTGAATATTTATTAAAAATTACTTTCGCATACAAATTTAATATTAATATACAAAATTACAATAAGTTGTGTCGAATTTTTTAGATATCTCAAAAGGAGTTAATTATTTAAGGCACGTTATCGTCAAATAATTGATTACATGTTTTCATTTTTAAGTGTATTTAAATGCGAGTAATTACAAACGTCATAAAAAGATGGGCAGAGTACAAAATACACACGAAATATCTCTGTAAAAGACTTTACAAGTTCAGGTGATGTTTTATACTCTCTCTATATATGTACATGATTTCGTATACACTACAGAGTATTTGAATAAAATACAACACAACACGTTCATTTTCATTCGGTTTTTCTTAATAACTACGAACAAGGGACAAATAATACAAAAGTACTCACACCTCATACGAACTTACACCTTTAAGGCACTAGAATGCTCTCATTCAATTAATTGCTTCCCTTAAAATATTTTATTTCTTACAGATATACGTTTATTATAAAAAAACATATTTTTTCCAGGGCTGCTTTCTTACTAAGAAGAATCAATGATTATCGTATTCTTAGTGTTAAACTTTCTTTTACAAATGTAATTCCAATGAATTTCATGAATCTTTTAAAGTTATATAATACAAAATAGAATTATATCGAGAACAGAATAAACTTCATAAATAAAAGAAACTTTCAAGATCTCTCAAAGGACTCTATTGAAGACTTCTATTCCCAAACTTCTTTCTGTCTTTAGAATAACACATTATAATAACTCTAATTAACTCAAAACCTTGCATTATTATCCTTAACTTAATCCAAATGCTAATAAATCTTCCTAAGCACAACTCATCAAGACTTTACGTTCAGCCCTGAAATTCCTTTGGCAAGAAAGATCCATTCCAAACTGGAACCGCCAGTTGTTCTAGAGTAAATCTAGACTGGAGGTTTCGAGTCAGTTCAGAAAAGGAGGCAACTGCACATAGCTCTGCTGGCTGGTTGGCTCGCTCTTCACCATCACCTGTTCCTTCATTCCTTGGCGTCCTTGTGGTGAGTGCATCCCGTATTCTTGTTTCTGATCCTGTTGTTGTTGCTGTTGTTGCTGCTGCTGCGTGTAATCAGATTGTTCGTGCTGATACTTATCCGCTGGACTGAGACCACTGACATAATCCAATTGCTTATTCTGCTGATGTTCTTCCTCTGACATGGAGTTAGCTAGGTGAGTGGGTGGCGAATGCGTGGTCACCATAGTCTGATAATCGTTGCGGGTTAGAGGAGGTGGTGGACTATTACTGGCGTTCATGTAATCCTGGTGCACGCGCATCGTGTTCCCTGATGGTGTAGAAAATAACGAGGCATCATGTTGCGGAAGCATTGTCGCGTACGAGTATGCTGACCCGTTGTTGCTCGGTCCACCGAAAGAGGTGGAATAAGGGGAATTAGATGGGCTAAGTAGATTCAGGTGTGGCGCCAGATCATACGCTGGAGAATACGCCCAAGCATCCGGCGGTGCTGTCGCTGTTGTTGGAGAGGCGAAGGGGTTGAGGGTATTATTCAGCGAGGTAAATGATCCTGGTGGAAAGAGAATTGCTTGTATTAATTTTTTTAAGTATAAAAATAATTTTAATAATTTAAACAAATTTTTAAATTTAGTGTGATAGTTACTGTTAGGATAACATTTGATATTTCTTATGGTTTTTATAAACAAGAACATTACTTATATTAATGTACCAAGTGTAAGTATAATTTTATAAAAATCTTTAGAAATAATATAGTAATCTATGTGGATTTTAAACTAGTATTAATTGCAAATATATAGGATTATTTTACAGATTTTTGTAATACGATGCAATTGGCTTATTTTTGCAGAAAGCATTGATATTCTTTATAACTATGTATGTATGTATGTGAATGAGAACTCGAAGAATTAACTGCGGTTGGTTCTTTTGTTTTCTTTTTTTGTTTTTTCTTTCTTTATTTTAAACTTTGCTAAATAATTTCACTCGATCAATAATTATATTAATAATTTCTTTTATTTATTCTAAAATATTGTCTGTTATAGTTACTTGTTTCGATAAAAAAAATAGTAAAGTACTACAACTACTATTTTATCAGTATAATAATTTATAGTTTAACAGTTTAATAATATAATAATTTCTAATAAAACTGACGAATAGCAATAAACAATACAAGTAGAAGACGGTTATCATTTTTGTTGTGATTACCTGATAAACCGGGACTTGCTGAACCAGCAGCCATGTACCCAGCGGTTTTACGTGGAGGTTCTCTCTTCCGCCATTTTGCACGCCGATTCTGGAACCAAACTTGAACCCTTGACTCCGACAAAGCGAGTTTTAGAGCTAGCTCTTCTCGCGCGAAGACATCAGGATACGGTGCACGTTCAAATGCTCTTTCCAATTCTTCCAATTGATAAGCAGTAAATGTCGTTCTGCAATAATTAATTTGCACAATAAAATTAAAATAATCACCGAATAGTAATAATAGTTGAAGCTTCAGACTGTGTAATTTTCTCTTTCAGCGGAACGTGACTAATGTTGAAGATATTATAGTATTTTTAACTTTAAACTAGGCTTTTATAAAGCCCCTGTTGTTAATATTTAAAAAGATATGATCAAAATTAAAGTTAGAAGAAAACATCAGGAAGTAATAAACAGTTAATCTAATTTTAAGTAATTTTAAGGAAATATATACCTGGTTTTCTTCTTTTTGATCCCATTGTTGTCGGTCTTCTTCTTGGAATCTTTCTTAGCTGGCTGAGCCTCGCTACTGACTACAAATATAAATTAATGTAACGTAAAATTTCAACAATTATTCCTTCTATAAATATCATTTCACTTAAAGGAAAAGATCGCAATTAATAATTCTATTTAATTCTATAATGATTCTTTGCTTAAACCAATTTACTCATCGATCCAAAATCTCACAACACTTTTTAAGCTAACTTTTTCAACGATTTCTTCACTTTATATACATATCAATATAAATTTTACAAGTACTTTAACAAATTAATAGAATCACTCTTATTCTCAATTAGTCACCACAGATATCGAATTATTAAGCCAAATTTTCCTGTAAAATTTTCAACATCAAATACTTCAAATATTGAAATATTCACTGAAAGCACAATACTAACCTGGAGCAAGAGTGTTCATCGGGTCTTCTGGCTTCCTTTTTAAAGGATTTCCAAGCTGCAGACCCTGCTGCAACGTCGTCGAGGTCGGCGTCGCAGCAGTGGACGTCGACGTGGTGACATCCTGCGTCTGAGGAAGTGGTGCGTACATTCCAGCTAATTCCAATTCCTTCAGCTCTTTCTGTTGTTGTTGTTGTTGTTGCAGATGATGGTGAGACGTTTGATGATGTGGCGGTGGACTGTTGGAAGAGTCCAATTTGTGCAGATGACCTCCAGTGGGCATTAAATCGCCACCATGGTGCCCACCATGAAGGCCAAGCATCACTTGAATACTGTGGACTCCGGAACCTCCTCGACCACCGAAGTCAGAGAAGATCGGGTCATCGAAGGGACCTCCGTCCATCTTTTATAAATTCTTTTAGGATTGAAAAATTTCAATTATTTTCTCCTTTCGATTCTTCAAGTAATGAATAACAACGTTAGATTATTTTTTTAGTGTCAAATAATAATTGAAATGCAATTATTGGCACAGTATTTCTTTGATAACTCTTGACGTTTTAAAAACACGTGGTTTCGTTATCAAAATCAGATAGGAACTTCTCTTCTTTTTAATAAAAATATCATAAATATCAAATTCTTTCAATCTCTAATATAAATTCGTATCTCCTTTTCTTTGATAGTTTCACAAACTGCAATTGTGTTTTCTCTTCTTCAATCACCGTGCGCTGAATACAATTTCTTCTCCTCTGAATTATATACACTTCTTGTTCAACAGTTTTTTGACTTCAATTATCTCTCTTCTTCAATCTTCACAGGCTTAAAATTAGAGCAACTCGACAGGAACCATTTCTTTCTATTAGTAAATAAATATTGAATGCCTCGCTTGGATTTCCGATACAAAGTATATGAGAGTTTCCTCTTCCTCGATGTTTCTTCAACTTTGTTCTTTATCTTCTTCTCTTCTCGGTAGTAACAAATGAAAATTCGTCGATCTATGATCCAGCCAGGGTTTAAAATACCCTAGACAACTGTGTCCCATTCACTTCCTGCTCCCTTTATTACCGCCGATTCCTCGGGTTCTTCGTGAAGACCTCCGGTTGGCCAATTATGCAAAAAGGCGTGCGCGGTGCGCAGGATGGCGGTCGCGGCGTTCGCGCGTCCTCCGTAATGGAATCCGAGCCAATTGCGATCAATTGTTGCCCGGGTTATGATTAATTTTGATTAGTACAAGCTAACGAAGCGAGAGCCAAGCATCGTGTCGTCGGCACACGAACAGATTGAACCAGTCGATCCGAATTATACTTTCGAGAACCGGAGGAACTATGCTCAAATGTTAATTTGAAAACATTTCCAAAATAGGAGCAGCAATAAAAAAGAAGAAAACAAAAGAAATAGAGGGCGAATGATTTTCCAAATGTTTACGTATATTGTTTCTCTTGCGACTGAACGGATTTTTGCTGTATTTTCTATATATCGACAACCGGGTGAGTTGATCGCGCGAAACAACAAGAGCCGCCTAACTAACCGGACACTGTCGCACTAAGCGACGATCCGTTCTGACTCTGGCTAATCAACCGACACTCACACACGCTTATATTTTCAACGGGTTGCTGGCCAGGCCGCCCCCACACATAGAAACCAACCAATCCTGTAGCACCTACTACGCGTTACGTGCTCCACGAGAGGACGGCCGTTTTATGCGGGCGCGGTATATACCGTTCTCCTGTATTTCTTCCTCTTTCTTTCTCTTTTTCTCCCTTTCCATTCTGCACCAGAGTCATCCGTCTGTCTCTCTTTTTAATCCCCCATGTACAGAAGAGTCACTTCCCCCTCCCACCCCCCTCTCAG